GTGGTATTGCATGGAATCATTAAGAATTATCAAGGATTAATAAAAGCCGACCTTTTTGTTTTTTTACCCAACCAACGATACGATGCACCAAAAGAAAACAGATGTCCCAAAAGCCTGCGCCCAAAAGAAATCCCAGACTGACTTTGACGAAAAAGATAATCAAAAGAACTACCTGGGCTGGAAGGAAAGAAATAGGTATAGAACTCAAAATATACCGAATGATGAAGCGTGACTGCTGTCGGTAGAAATGTGATCCGAAGAATCAAACGAACCAAATACGAGGGGAGAGATAACGACCGATAGAATGAATACGAGAGTAGAGTAAATGATAAAAGTAGATGGATGAAAAAGATCCCAAATATGAGGTAATAAGACACAACAAAGGAATCACAACCTTTCAGAATAGTTTTCTGTTCTCATACCCATACCCGCAACCAATGCTCTCACCATCCTCCGGGCTGGCCCATGGGCCAAAGCCAGTCGCAAGTCAATAAAGCCCCATGTTAAAAGATAATAAAAATATGCACCAACGTTTTGCTCGCCCTTCCCGTCCCAATAGCACATAGAACTGCCATAGAGATAATAACGTAAAGAAGGGTAAATAATGAGATAGTCATCAGATAGATCCAGAGAAAAACGTAATCATAATAGGTCCTGGAAAAAAGGCAAAGGAAAGACAAGGAAAAGCGAAACATTTTTAGTGAAAAGATAACACGCACAACCCGGAAATCACGATCCAAAGCAAAATTCCGACAGACGAGGGGGATAAATGAGAGAAAATCCAAAGGGAATAAATGGTAAAAAAAAAAGATAAGAAAAAAACGAAGCCAACGAAACATCTTCCGCCGCAATCTTTTCAAACTTAGACAAGCCTTCAGCTCCACTTGTCCCAAGAAAAACAAAAATAGAAATTTTAATTCACCGCACGTATTGTGGGTTCCCATGACAATTTTTCTCTCCGCACCAAAACCGACGTATGGACTGATAGAAAACCAACATGTAGAGTTCGGGTAGGCAGAGGAATTTACTGCTGCTGGTACGCTCCGAAGCCGTTGGTTCCGAAACCCCCAACGGAGTTTCCGCCCCAACCTCCAGGAGTTCCGGCGCCATTTCCACGGCCGTATCCACCAGCACTCTGTGGGACTCCTCCATAGCCGGACCCAGTCTGCGGTCCTCCAAAGCCCTGCGACTGATCTTGCCATCTGCCAGGTGGAGATGGTCCAGCTGGTGACTGAGGACCATGACCCTGGATAGCATTTGGACCGCCAGCGGATCCGGGAGGACCCTGGGGGGCCATAGGACTACCGTATTGTGGGAAGTACGCAGAAGGGGTCTGTGGAGGGTACTGAGGAGTGTTCGGCTGCTGCGGAGAATATCCGTCGTATTGGCCAGTTGGGGGACGATCCTTGCCCCACTAAAATTATGTCAGTATTACGTGGATAATGGGTGTTGTAGAAAATAAATATACGTACGCTACACTTCAGCGGCCTTCCATTCACATTGTACCCCGAGAGCTGGCAGATTGCCATTGCAGCATTCTCATGAGTGTCCATCTTGACAAATGCAAACCCTCTGTCTGCTTGGAACCTAGTCTCGACCACGTAACCAAAGTTCTGGAACAATGGAACAAGATCATTCTGGGTTGTGTAAGGTGTAAGATTACCGACATAAACGGTTGTTTGCCATTGAGGTGTTTGCTGGACAATCATGTCATAGCTCTGAACGCCATGGGTCGGGAAATGGTGATGACCATAGGGAGTGGTAGGAGTCATTCCCATGGCAGCCATAGCGGCTTGCTGAGAGATAGAGGGCTGGCCCTTCTGGTTAGCCCAATTGCAGCGAATCGCACGAGAACCGAGCCATTCTCCATCCATACTGCTCAGAGCCTTCTCGGCGTCAGTACGCTCACGGAAAGCGACGAAACCGTAACCGCGGGAGCGGCCAGTCTTCATATCCCACATAACGCGGGCCTCAGAAACTGAGCCAAAAGCAGAGAAGGCTTGAGTAAGGACTTCATCGTTGACCTCGTTGGAAAGGTCACCGACAAAGATGTGGAAGTGGTTAGTAGTGTCTTCCTTGCTAGACTGGTTAGATTGATATGCCCAGTTGACACGAATTTCCTAGTTTTGTTCGTCAGGCGAATATTTACAATTAGAGAAGAGTGGGGATCATACAGCCTGGTGGATTCTTCTTCCATTCAGAGTTGCCATGGCACGCTCAGCCGCACCAGGATCATCGTATTCAATGAAGCCATAGTTGTACCCCTTACTCTGAGTAGACACAGTTAGACTACAGAGTGACACTTTATAGGAGGGGGGAATGAGGGGCGGAATAGCGGGGTATGTGTACGTTTTTGTCAGGGATAATTTTGACGCTCTGGACATGGCCAGTGGTTTCAAAAATCTGTTTCAGAATCTCCTCGGTAACGCGAGGATCCACTCCGCCAACATACAACGCTCTCTTGTTTGGCTCGGGTGCGGCACGGCGGACGAACCCCCCAGCAGAAGTGGGCGAGGTCACACCGGAAACCGACATCGGCGAAGTGATGGCCGTCGGAATCGGGTTTGTGTTCTGCGGGATAATGACTGGGGGAAGAGGTGGAGGAGGCATATGGCTGGATTGATTCCCCTGGCCAGGAGCATTATTTTGGTCTTGAGACATGATGAAATGAATTTTGCGGGTGCAAGCAGTTCCACTTGAAAATTTCTTTTTGAGCGTTTTTGTCTAAGACAGCGCAAGCAAAGTGTTTATTTTCTCGTTTCGAGTCGACAAAAAAATCGAGAAAGCCTGAAAGGAAACCCGACAACGACGAAGAAAGAACGCTGCCAGAGATCGACCTGGATGAGGAAGATACACGCGATAGTTGAAGCGCGCTAAGAGAAGAGAGAGATAGAGAGATAGAGAGATAGAGAGATAGAGAGATAGAAGAAAGAGGAGAGAGAAAAAGTGGAGACAATTGGAAAAAAAGCCGTGAAAACCGAGGACGCAATCCTATACCACCTCTTCAAGACACTAAGAGATGAAAAGGGAGGGTGGAACAGGAGCGAAAGGGAAGACGAGAGAAAAACAAAAAGGCAATTTTCCGGTCCAAACGCCTCGAGAGGAAAGGAGATGTCAAGAGAAATGGAGAGGAGGATGATGATGAGAAGATGAGGGGGAGGGGGGAAGGAGAAAGGAAAAGTGATGAAGTGTGGAGACGAAGAGGTGGGGTGAGTGAGGAAGGGAAGAAGGAAATAGAGGTTAGGAAGAAAAAAGGCAGCGGACCAGGAGAGGAGAGTGAAGGAAAAAAGTGGTGTAAAAAGACAAGAAAACTGCGAGTAAGCGAAGAGAGGGGGAGGTGAGGCGCTGATTTGGGTGTGGACCGCAAGCGCTGGTTGGCTCGTGTGAAAGGTGGGTGTGCAATGTGTCCTGTGTGGGGGGGCAAAAAACGTCTCTTGTGCGCCTTTATCCTGCTTCAGCCGTCATGCCCTCCGCGAACTACTTACTGCAAAGAGTTCTATTTGCTCTCATCCTGCAGGCGAACATGTTTTTTTTGGGCTCACGACTCGAAAGAGACTTTATTGAGTAGGTATCTTGAAGTGCCTACAGTATTGTATGTAAATACATACCTACATGATACTTTTGGTAGCGACTGGTAGGGTAGATACAAGTATTTGTCTGGCGCGCTCTGTCCTGTGACTGGTTCTTCTCACCTCCTTTACGCAGGTACATATATAGTTTAAACTTATGCTTACGGACAGGCATCAGAGTTTTTGCTTTGTTCATTGTTCAGGACCCATTCGTTGACGGGTTGATTTGACGGGTGCAGTCTATCACACACAACCAGAATCGATAGTATTCACGTTATTTAAGTTTTGATGCATTAGTATGGGAAGATCGTTCACAGTTTTTAAAGGCTAGTAATTTGTGTCCTACTCTGTCTACCTGTCTAGGGTATACCCAGTACCTACATCAGTAACTCACTATTTATTTTTCTCGTGCTCTTTAACTTTATAGCTGTCAGCTGAACCAATTTTTTCACTCTTTGGGGTAAAAATAGAATTAGATCGAAGACTTTTATTCTCTTGGTCGATCCCTAAAGAAGTATTGACTGCCTACTCAACAGTTCGAGTATGTAGGTATAAATGTACATTCATTGATGAACAGCGACTAGTGGGTACACCCTACTAAAGCTCTACAGTTACTAATTGTAGACTTTATCCCCTTTCTCGTACATAATCGTATGCCGATGTTGACCTGGCCGGAGCTGCACCTTATGTTAGCACCGGCGATGGATAGCTGCGTGGAGTTGAAGAGACGATGACGGAGTGTTCAGGGGGGCAATTGTAAGCGGTCTTGGCGACTACGTAGTATCGTATTGGACACGAACCGCTGGCACACAGCCAGGCTCTCACCCCTCTCACGAACTACTTACCAGTTCGTAGACCTCATACCTTCTGCTCGTCTCACTTACGCCATTCATCTACATCTCAGAAGTTTGCTCTATCCATCAACCCCCCCGCCATCGACACATCTTCTCTATCCCTTCATATTGATACCGTCAAACTTGATCCACCAGACGTTCTGTGCCATTATCTTTACTCTTTAAAAACATCTACTTTGGGCAAGAAACTCAGGTACCGAAGGTACGGTTCAAAAGACGCTTTGGCCTGCATATATTACTCCGCATCCTGTGCAGAATTAACTGATCAAATAGGTTGACCCAGCAAAATAAACCCCTCCCCTGGCTGGTATCAGCTTATCCGTATCGTGCCACGTACAGAGATCCTCTCTGAGCAGAAATTCCCGCACCCCGCACTTGTATACTTAGAAACACCGGGAGCAACGGTCAAAACCTAAATCCAAACGTCATAGCATTCCAGGCACAACTTCAAAATCGCTCGATTCCAGTTTAGAAGATACTTTACCAGCCTCCAACGCGGCCGGCACTAGAATCGCACATAGGAAAGCTGGCTGGAAAGCGACGCTCGTTATCCAGCGCCGGCGGTCTCTTCGCCAGGATGTTCGGTAACAACAGCAACAACAACGGATCTGCTCCATCAACAGCTGATGCTGAGCCTACCTTGAATACAAAGATTGCTAACCAGCTTCCCACCGACAGTACTCCATTCGCAGAAAAGGGAAAGAAGGGGAGCTCTGGTTCTAAAACGTCTGCCTTCATAGCCTCTGCTAAGAATTCGATCACAAACCTTGGCAACAATAACGAGCAAAAGGAAAAAGAAACGAAAACTACTGCACCAAAGGATGATCTCCCTACAGTTGTCGTAGGTCCTAACAATAACTCTGCGGGCGATTCAAAACCAGGCCCCAAAAGCACGTTCAGAGTCGGCGTGACGGAGGATAAGAACAAAAAATGCCGAAGGACCATGGAGGATACCCACTCATTTCTTTATAACTTCTTGCCAACCTTGCCGCCAGCTACACCTACATCAAGTACTACCAACACCTCTGGAGTTACGTCTACACATTCGACCGAGGAGACAGTGGAATCAGACAATGGATACTTTGCGATCTTCGATGGGCATGCGGGGACATATGCTGCCGATTGGTGTGGGAAGAAATTACACCTGGTTCTGGAGGACACAATCAGAAAGCATCCCAACACTCCCATACCCGAGTTACTAGACATGACCTTTACCAATTGTGATGGACAGCTAGAAAAGCTACCTGTTAGGAATAGTGGGTGTACAGCTGTTTGTGCCGTTTTGAGGTGGGAGGATAGGCCGGTGCCGAATAGTGTTGGGCAGTTGGATGCTGCTAAAGGGAAGGGAGTAGTCAACGACGAAAACTCGAAACCCTCCCTGAACTTGGCGACAGAAAGACAGAGGGTCCTATACACAGCCAACGTTGGTGATGCTAGGATTGTACTCTGCAGAAATGGCAAAGCTCTAAGGCTGAGTTATGATCATAAGGGAAGCGATGAAAATGAAGGGAAGAGGGTGGCAAACGCTGGAGGTTTGATATTAAACAACCGTGTCAACGGTCAGTCATGACTCAACCCTCGCCCCTCCGTTTTGTAATGATTAGCTGACATTGGGACGTATAGGGGTTCTGGCTGTCACTCGTGCCCTAGGAGACAGTTATATGAAGGAATTAGTCACAGGACATCCTTATACCACGGAAACTGTCCTACAGCCCGAGGCAGACGAATTCATTATACTTGCTTGTGATGGCGTAAGTTTGGCATCTTTTGCGTTGTATTTACACCAGTTGTGCTGACTTTCTTTGCGTAGCTTTGGGATGTTTGTTCGGACCAGGAAGCAGTTGACCTCGTTCACGCCGTCAAGGACCCACAGGAAGCGAGTAAAATGCTTGTAGATTATGCTTTGGGCAGGTTTTCTTCGGATAACCTCAGTTGTATGATTGTGCGTTTAGATCCCACTGGCAAGTTTCACGGGTTGAAAGCTCCGGATTCTGCGGTAGAGGTGAAGGGAGAAGTGGCGCAGCCGACGAAGAAGTAGGACGAGCTCATTGAGCAGGGAGATTTATAGAAGGGGGTCTTTTCTTTGGTACGATACGAAATTTAGGGAGTGGTACTTTTTTTCTTTTTTTCTTTTTCTCTTTCTTTTGTTTCGTTTCCTCTGAGGCGGGGAGAGGGCATGCGGGTATATGCGTTTTTTTTTTATTGTTTTTTATTGTTTTTTTTTATCTCTATCCTGATTTTTTTGTGAGATTTTCTTTCTTTTCTGCATACTTATTCACTTTAACTGGGACTTTGCGACTTGAAATTTTTCAATGGTGACAAAAGCATTTGCAGTGTGGGGATTTATTTGATGGAGTAGCGGGGTGGTGGTGTTGGGGGGGTTTGTGGTTTGGCCCGGGGGGTTACAGAAAGGGTCCATTGCACTTTTGTTTTGTTCTAGATTAGTACACTGGCCGCATCGTCGGTATTAAATTTTACGACTCGCCGCATCATCTTTAGAAAGGGACACACCTAACTTAGGAGGACGATCGATCATACGAGTATCCAGAAGAACTGCAGAGAGGAGCGACGGCTTTTAACATTTTTATATCAATCATAGTTTTGACGGTGTGGGAGAAGCTAGCACGCATCATGTCGCGTCACTCGGAGCATTACTTAGGTGTTGAGGACTGCAGATGCACAATATTAATTATCAGCCCTAGCTACATGTAGCTACTAACTACTTCAAACTGAATAAATTAACCACCTAAGGCTTTATATCCAGTACCTACTCGGCCCAATGCTGTATTATCACCAGATGTAGTGGACCCCTACTTCTCAACCAGTGGGATACGAAGCGTTATTCTACCCACATAGCATGAGGTGCTAGTGAGTACGGAAAGAGCACAAACAAGGCGGGCGCATTGCCGTTTCCTACATCATAACCCCAGGGGGGCGGGGTGTGTGAATTTCTTAAGGCGGGATTATAGTAGCTTTAACTACATGTAGTGGGCATGTAGTAAGTATGTAGCCTACAGTAGAAGAAATAGAAGGGGGGCAGATACAAACCTCTCGCTGTAACGAGAGTCCGCTATGACGCAACGCAAGCAACGCAGGGCGCGCGTTAATAGGGCCCACCATATGCATCACAAGAGCGCCGGAGAAACACGTACATGTGGACCCTACCCGTGACGTCGCCAGCTCCGCGTCTGGCGCGGTAGCGGGAGAGGCGGGGGAGAGGCGTCTACGCTGTGGTTTCTGGGCTAGTTTTGATTTGGGGGTTGATGCAGAAAACAACTCCCAAACATACAACACGCACACGCAAATACAAACACTTGGGTCACGCAGCCGGATGGCCGGATGGCTGGTGTATTTATGTATGTGTGTGTGTTTTGGGGGGGGGGGGGGGGGGGGTTGGAGTAGCTGGTTATGTGTTGGGTTTGAAGAGAGCTGGGGATAGTTCCTATGTTCCGTGCGGGAGCGGCTATGGGCCCTTGAAGAAGCCAGAATAGACTGGTAAATGGTGGGTATACATATGTTCCTGCTCCCAATTAACTCCTAAAGATGTAGAGCGGCATTATCTCGAGATAGCACCCCCCGCGCGGCAAACTCAAGATGCAATGTCTCCTAGCTGCATGCACTGGGATGGAGGGCGTCATCAGAAATCACTCGGCTGTTCTCTCTGTGGGACTAGAGCGGGTTTATTCGATTGGTTGGGTGGTTTTGATATATTGGATATCAGCGTTGATGGTGATTGTCACGAGTCGTTACTATTGCTACTGCTATCTATCGGCCTACCAACATAAGAAAAACACCACACACCACCGCATTACTACTTATATTCCCTATCTACCACTTCTAATATACACCCTTCCCTTCCCCCCCGCCCCCTCCCCGCACCCAGAACTCCCCAAACTCCCCCAAACTCCCCCAAAACACAAAGCAAACCCACCTCCCCCCCCCACCCCACGAACACCAACTACGTACCCCCATACCCAAACAAATCATTAAACTCGCTCCCAAACAGATCACTCTCCTCCAGCGGCTGCCCGCCCCCCATCCCACCATCATCATGCCCCTGCCCCTGCCCCTGCGCCGGCTGCCCCTGCACCCCGCCCACCCCCACAGGGAAGCTCGCCAGAAAGTCGTCAAAGTTCTGCGCGGCCGCCGCGGACTGCATCGGTGCCGGCGGCGCGGCGGCGGCGGGGGTGTCGCTCATCACTATATCCTGCTGCTGCTGCTGCTGCTGCTGCTGTTGCTGTTGTTGTAGTAATAGCTGTTGCTGTTGTTGTTGTTGCTGTAGTAGCTGCTGCTGCTGCTGCTGCAGTAATTGTTTCTGTTTCTGTTGTAGTTGCTGTTGCTGCTGCTTCAACAGCTGCTGCTTCTTTGCCTCCTGTGCTGCCGCCGCCGCCGCTGCAGCTGCGGCCTCGGCCTCGGCCTTTGCGCGCTCGCGCTCGCGCTCCTTGGCTGCCTCGGCTTCGCGCGCTTCTTCGGCGGCGCGCAGGGCGGAGAGGTCCCGGCGGAGGGTGGCTTTGGCTTTTAGCTGGTGCGCGTTAGCCTACCATCCTATCTCTAGGGGTTCGGGTGTCGGGGTCGGGGGAGTGAGGCGCGTGGGGGGTGAGGGGTGAAGAGAAAGGGGAGAGATACGATATCCATCTCCAGCAGATCCAGCGCATACTGGAAGCGCTCGTTACACACGGAGACGGACGTGCGCAGCTGCGCATTGGTGTGGATTACGGCGCGGGGCTGCTGGCGCTGCGGCGTGTTGAAGACGTCGGCTGTTTGGCAGAACTGTTTTCGTGTTAGGGGTTCAATGCGCAGAAGTCAGGAGGAGAGAGGAGAGAGGGGGAGGGGGGGGGGGGAAGGAGGGGCTTACGACGGCGTGCAGCATAGCGGGCAGGATCTGTAGGGGTGTTTGGTGCGATTCCGGGGGCTTGGGGTGTGTTGAGGCGGCGGTGGAGGGCCCGGCGGCGTGCGGGGGCTGCGTCATTCTGATTTGATTTGCGGGGCGGGGCGGGGTGGGGTGGGTGATGTCTGGTGAGGGAGTGATGTGTGGTGAGTGGTGAGTGGTGAGTCGTGAGTCGTGTGTAGTGTTAAAGAGCTCCAGCGACGTGAGCGCGAGAAAGCTTGGTACAGCATGCGGTTAGCTTGGTACACAGTGCATCGGCAGGGTTAGGGGTGTGTGCATGGATAGCTCCCGTTGTGGGGCTTGGCGTGCAGCACATCATTTCCACCAGCAAGGACCAAGCAAGTCTCAATGATGTGTTACTTGACTGGATATATTTATCGCTCCGAGGAGACAAAACCACCTGCGCTGTCTGTGCGACGCAGGAATTAATTATTAGACGATAGACCGGTCTAAATGTATGCCAATCCGCAACAGGTGAGGTTGCAATTGTGGTTGTGGTTGGTGGTGGACCGGTAGGCGCTATGGACACCGGGGAGTACATCTGATTCGAATTCGCTAGTTCATGAGAAGCGAGAAATCACGCAACTGCATACATGTATCAAATTACCGAAAGTACAGGTACTACATGTGCTTCCAGAATCAAAACTACAGGCACTACTATCAAAACCTCTACCTACATACTAGACGAAACACTCGACATCCCCTGGAGTTACGTGCTAAGTAGAACCTACGTCGTGATCGAACCACCAACCAGAGCTCATACCTACATGTACTAACCAACTACAATAGCTACACTACTTGTCGACCTCTATCACCACCTCACTTCCTCCACTTCCACTCCTCCACATCAAAGACCACGAGCACAATCTCCACAATTAAGTGGCGTACAATACCCACCTCACACCCCTGCAATAAGCACCTGGTTCTACAAACAATTTAATTTTCCGGCAGGCCCTCATCAAGCCATCCCACAAGCCATCCTCTGCCCAACCTCCACAACCCCTCGGCCACATACCCTCCATAACCTACATAGCCACCCACCCACATATCACCACCACCACCACCACAACAACAACCACCCCCACACCCGTTCCGCTACACACTTACACTTACCCACAGACTCCCCCGCAACTCAACCGCTTACCTCCCAACTCTGCTCGATGTGCACTCTGCTGCATGCACACACGTTGCCAAGAGCAGAGACCCTGAGTACCCATGCCATGCGTTATGACATAAAACGGTAAACAGGGAAAACAAGCGTCTGTCTGTTCACGTCACCTGCCTGCCTGTATGTCTATCTGTATGTTTACATCACGGCGCCTGGTAGCCAGGGCAGAGTAGAGTGCATGCGCGGAGGGTTATAAAAGCTATAAGTATCAACTTCGTGAATCGATACCTACGTCTGGAGAGCTGTTCCAGGTTTGCTGTTGATTTTTAAATTATTGTAGGTACGTGCTTATATAGCTGACGCTGCAGTAATTTATCGGTGACCGGGAGTTTGTATTATCCGGCCGTTGGATATTAGATTGAGTTATGCTGACGGCATGGTACTAGTCTATAAGCCGTTTATTTGAAAGACAGGGGTGGGATGGATCATTAAAGGGTCCATCCAGGATGACAAACGTTTTTCGAGAAACAACATCTACGTCTAGCTGCAAATGAGAAACGCCTCCAACATAATAAGTACCTCTGGTAAGTAATTTCTCAAAAAATTCCTTTGAGCCATCCAGCGGTAAAAAAAAAATTGTACAACGATCAAATTTGTTCAAACTGTAAAGGAAGTGCCTCGTATAGCTACGTAAGTATATATATATATGTAAATACAATCAGTACCCAATTCCTTGGACAATACTCTCAAATCCCGGTATTCTGCATTCCTCACCGGTCTCTGGCCCCTAGGCCCTCTACCGCCTACAAGTATGCACACCTGTCCCAGGATCCAGCAACCTCTTGATTTCATCACTCGGACTCCTCGCCAACGTGAGCGGCACAGCCCCACAGTTATCTTGAATTCTCGGATCCGCGCCCTTCTCTACCAGCAGCTTAATAACATTCTTCAAATCCCACGGCTCTTCACTAATTGTCAAGCTTGCCGCACAATGCAGCATAGTCTTCCCGCTCTGGTCCCGATAATTCACGTCCACGCCCTTCTGCTGTAGAAAAAGCTCAACCATTTCGGTGTCGTTGTGCATCACCGCCCGCCTGATCCCAGTGTAACCCAGCTCGCGCTGTAGAAATAGATTAGCACCGTGATGGAGAAGAAGCCGGATGGTGGGCTTGTGGTTCCGGGAAATGGCGAGGTAGAGGGCACTCATGTTGCTATAATCCTGTTGGTCGATGTAGGCCCCTTTGGAAAGTAGAAGCTTGATGAGTTCCTCAGCCCTACTGAATGTTGCGTCTCGACCCTCAAGGGCGACCCAGTGTAGGGCAGTGATGCCTTTGTTGTTGGGGATATTGACATCAGTGTCGGCCTCGTCCAGTAGAGCTTTCACAAGTTCGTAGTTCTGGAAGCTCATGGCCTTCGAAAGGGGGGTTACTCCTGCTGCGTCTTGTAGATTCACTCCAGCACCGTTCTTCAAGAGCGTCCTTATTATCACGGGGACTGCCTCGACCTCTGCTACAGAGTGCAAGGCTGTCTCTGCGAGGACTGCTTTGTTCCGAAGATTGACGTCTACGCCTTGAGCTAATAGAAGCAGCAGAAGTGAAATATGTCCCCGTCTAGCAGCCCAGTGTAGGGCGGGCTCACCATCTTTTGGTAGGTGAGCAAGGCGGTGGAAGCGAGAGATAGTTAGATGATAGATGCGGTGAGAGGTGGAAAGGAGATGATAAAAGTCTTGAGGATTTTCTGTGAGATTTTCGGCAACGAGGAGTAGTATTTCGTTGGGGAGGCTGAGGAAGGACATTGTAAAGTTATGTTGTAAGTATATGGATCGTGTTCCTCTGGTAACTATATATATCTGTAGGAGGGCATTAATTCCGAGGGATTAAAACCTCTCAGAAGGACCCGGGTCCAACGGGATTTATAAAGAGGCCATCTACTGAGCGTTTCAAATCTATAGCGCTGAGATATTATTGTTCAATTTAAGTATAACGCCTGTGCCCAGATAGTAGTAGCTGACACGGGTTCCCACGTTCTACAGGGAACGATATAGGTAAATACGTACATATGTACCTCACACCCGCCACCACCCATGAGAATTGGTCGTCTATCCGAGATTAAAGTAAAGCCATTGCTCGGATAGATAGATAGTGCCTCAATGTGTGCTTTTACTCTCCACAAAAAAGAGAACAAGGAGGAACAGGTACATAAATGTATGCTCTGCTCTTCTTGAGACTGCAATGCATCATGTGCATGTGTCACAACGGTGGCGCTCAGCTGCTGCATGAGAGATTGTCATGTGATTGTCCTAATCAATGGTCGGTCAGCTATCGATGCATATAAATTGAGCCACAGTAGCTGATATCAGACGAAAATGTGGGATTGAGCTTTTACTACCTTATGCCCCCTTTAAAAAAGGCAGTTGTGCCCAATATCTATTCTGAATTTGTGCTGCAATAATCCGTAAGTGATAAGATGATGTCTCTCTTCAAGTAAGGGGGCATGGATAAAATATCGATTTCAAAATTACTCATAATCAGAAAAGGGAAAAAAAAGGTGGTGAGACGGCAGAGATTAAAATCCCGCCGAGTTTATGCGAATTTATGCAAAGTCCCACCACCTTCAGAGTAATGTGGGTCGTGGTGCACGAGCTATTGAAGACAACTAGTGACATATAACTCGAGGTCCATCTGCCTTGTAGGGTTACGTCTAGATCTTAGCCTGTTTTGTTAGAGAGGGGAAATTCCTTAATCTTTTAGAGGTGCTCGAAGCAGGTATGCACTATTTTTAGAATACTGCTGAGCACCATCTTGAAACCTTAAAGGCGACAGGTATACCATGAGCTATGTGTGGAGAGACAGAACTTGGCGAGTGACTAGAGCTTTGCTGGATTTGTAATTGTGTCCACATATAACGCATGTACCTTCTGCCCGTACAGTATCACAGAAGTAGATACCTCCCGCGGGGGGGGGATGATGCCTCTTGAGTGATACTGAAAACCCAGGATAGTATCTGGAAAGCATTGGCGTTAGTACGTTGGGTCAATTCCGGGATATTTCCCTATTAGAATACTCATCAGTTACCAGTGTGGAAGCCATGCCTCTAAGAACGTAGTGAAGGCTCTCGAAAGCATCCAATGAAAGAATTCTCACAATCGGTACGCCCCAGCTTGCAGCAATAAAGACAATGAAGGCTTGGCCGGTGTAGAAATACTTTGGAGTGGACGTGGCGAATTGAGGCTGCATGTTGATGTCAAGCTGTTCTCAACTCCATGCACCATGTTTAGCAGATAGAACGGTTGATGCTGTAATAGGAGAGCACATACTCGACTAGTGATTATAGTCCCGGAACCCGGTTGTGAGATGTGTCATTGACGACTGTGGGCACCTTACATACATGTAGGGTCTGGGACGGATCCATCTAATGGCACCATAGTGGCTTGACGGAAGGCCACATAAACCATTGAGTTACGATATCTCAGAGAGCTTTTCAAAGTGCATCCATCCTGCTGTGTATTAACTCTGCTCTCCCGCTCCTACCAAATATTAAATTACGACTTTCCCAAGTGCAGGCTAATTTCGAATATGAGCAATCATTTAGGCTCGCCATATGACGGCATCTGCCTTGCAAGGAAAGGATACTGGCATTATAAGGTTCAACCCGCAGTACCCGACCGGGGGCTCCGCTAAAGGCCTCGCGCATCATATCACCAATGTCGCCTGATTTTTGGCGTGCCGAGCCTCAGATTAAGATCTGAAGATATTAAAAACGCCTTTGTACCACCTTCCGGTCTGGATTGTGCTTTTCATTGGACAAATCGACTGGCAGCTGTAGTAGTGCTGCTAGCTTCGCTGGTGTTACTACGACAGGGTTGATTCAATATGTGACCGAGTGCTGGTTGATGATTCAACTTCCCGGGTTCTATCCTTTGGTGCTCTCGCGATCTTCACTCTTCTGTACTACCCCGATCATGATACATCACTCGCTGCACCTTCGATCATTGACCCTCGATTGATTGATTGATAATTCATTAATTGTGTGATCATTGACCCTCGAGGGGTTTCAAGATGACAGAAAAGATACTTGAATAGCCGCACATTTGATTATTTTAAGCTATGCTATCAAATTAACATCTTTTAACCAACCACGATAGCGGATATCTTGAATGCCATTATTCGACTAGTTGCTATAAATCATTCCCAAAAGCCACTCTAGAGATCTTCTAATCACCAGAGACCAAATCACTCCACAAACACTCCACAAAGCACCTTAAAATACTTCAACTCATCCTGCAAAAATGTCTCTCGAAGATTTCACCACCCCTATGCTCCTCAGGATCGCCTCCGAGGCCAGCACCGACAGCCCCCTCACCAATCTTCTTCTTTTGAAGAATCACGGGGCCTCCGCGCTCCTGTCCCAGATCCTCCAGTATACTGACTTCCTCTCTAACAACAACGTCTCTCCCCTGCTCTGGTCCGTCATGCATCGCTTCCATCCCCTCACCCTACTCTTGCTCGACACCGACAAGAGGATTGATGTCAATGCACAGACCACAGAGGGGCTCACAGCACTACATATGGCAGTTATCTATGGCGATATTGCGATTGTAGAGCTGCTACTGGAGCAGGAGGGGGTGCATGTTAACATTATGGATTTCTATGGGCAAGTGCCGTTGCAGTATGCAGTAACGAAGGATTGGGAGGTGAGTAAGGCGTTAGTGGATATGCTTGCAATGAAGGGGGGTGCGGATATGCGTGAAGCGGGTTTTGGGGGTTTAAGGCTGGGAGATCAGTCGAGGGTGAGCGAGGATGAAAATGATGAACCAATTGATTTGTGGGCGTGTGTTCAACTGGAATGATCGATTGATGCGATCATACCTCGTTTAGACATGTGGAAGGCTAGTTTGGACATGCACCAGTCGGGATGAGGTATGAGGCATAGGTCTCGGGATTGCTCGGCCGGTTATGGTATTTAGGTGGAGCTAGGTTAATAAAATAACTTCTATATCACAGTATTCCCATTTGCTCTCAATAATAGCAGGCATCTCGCTGAAAACATAATTATACCAAGACACTGGTTCTATGGGTTTCAAATGGGGGGCATGTTTGGACCCAGGTTTATTGAGTGCGACTAAACGTTAAGTGTATATTCGGTATGTTCTTTCCTATAAATACATGTACTTCTGTACAAAAGAAAAGGAAACCAGTTTCAAGTAATCATGTAGATCATCTTGCGGTGTAAAAATGTATCACGTAGACAATACAGAAGAGAAATACCAAGAACATATACGCCATCGGGAGATTAAAAAACTGTTACAAAAAGATGTGCCAATCCCATTGCATGATATAAGATGTGAAGTTAAAGTACTTTTCTAACTAAGTGCAATCTAGTGCAAAAAGCGTCCGGTGGACGAGGGAGATATGGCGCGTGAACTATCCAGAAACTCGCGTGGGGGAGTGGTTTGAGCTCTCCCATGGGGTGAATTGCTTTGGTCGTTTGAAAACTGGCTGGATGATCGAACAGATAACGACGACCTAGGTGTGGATTGATATTCACGAGAATCCACGGGCCTAACTGAGGTAGGAACTATTTGGACAGATGAAGAAGATCTGGGCGTGGACGGACGTTGAGGAGGGCCCATAATTCCTATCGAGGAAGATGCACTTGAGGGTGACGGAGAGGCATTCCTCATGTATGCACGCGGATGAGAGCCGATTGCCTTAACTGGAGAAAGAATGTTTTTGGAATTTTTAATTCCATACAGTTCAGTATTGGTAGACGAAGAAGTCTCGCTTATTTTGGTGGCGCGTGAGTAAGCGATAATAGGCCTTTCTTCTCTGGACTCTGCGTTTATAGATGTATCCTGGGCCTGGGATGAAGATTCGCCTAGAGCAGATGGCTGGTCTTCAGAAGATTTGGCTTGGGCCTCAGCTGACCGGCTATCTTGTTTTTTGAGCTGATATTTGAAGGGATTAATATAAGGCGAAGGAGAGGATTTGGTTTTATCCCCCCCGACCCCACGTCGTGTATTCAACGCGATACGGTTTAAGGGGGATGGTGGGACGTAATCATCATCTTCTTCTTCCGTTTCCTTCTTATGAGTGCTCCAGTATGGAGAATAGACTGAGAGAGAACATGTGATGGAATCTTTCGCCTCCGCCTCATTCTCATCTTCTTCGTCTTCCTCCTCGCTGTTATCGTTTACGTCCTCTTCCTCATCTTCTTCCTCGTCTTTATCCTCTTGATCTTCCTCATCCTCTTCATCTTCCTCTCCCCCTTGCTCTCGCTCTTCGTTCTTAGAGGTGGGTGGGGTGGATCTGTCCCTAGTTTCTGTGATTTTGAAGACCTTTGAGGCTACCGATGCGCGAGTGCTCCTCAATTTAGCAATCTGTCTTTCTCTCTCCAATGCGATGAGAGCGGGGGCACGAAGTGCAGGAGTGATCTTTGTTTTGGTAGCCGCAATCTTGGTGCAGCCAATCTCGGTGTACAGCGGGATACCTTGTTGTTTACGGCGGGAAATCTGTGCCTTGGTGGGAAGTATATAATTCCAGGGTCTGACGGTTATAGTTTGCTCAGTGACACCCTTTTTGATATTCTTTCTGATTTTCGCGAATATTTCTTGAAGACGCTCTTCGGAGATATGTGGGGTATGTACGCATGGCTCAGCTGATGTTCTTATTAGTTATATTCTATACATAGTAGAGGGAGGAGAAAGGGGAGAAAGTCAGGAGGAAAAAGAGGAGTAGGATGGCAGTAATATTTACCTTGGTACTTGCGGCCGATGGTAATATCGTAGTCTACGCCTTGACCCTTTGGGATCTCTAAAACACCATTAATCCCAGAGAAAACATGCTGGTATGAGCAAAATCCACTTACTTCGACCTGCAGTAACCCTTTTGGCTACAGTAATACTTTGTGTAGCAGTAATTTTACGTTTTTTGGTCCTGGCAAGGCCACCGCCATCATCATCATCATCATCATCATCATCATCATCATCGTCGTCGTCGTCGTCGTCTCTGCCATCATCCTCAGAGTCACTCTCGGGTGGCCTTGGTTCATTAATGGCGGGATTGAACACAGGCGAGGGGGGTGGGTTCTTCTTCCTCCTTGTCCGCTTCCTCTTGGGGGCAATCCCCTCCTCCTCCCCCTCTACCTCCTCCTCCTTCTCTGTTGAGCTTGGTGAAACGACCATTGTTACGGCCTTCTTAGAGGCAATCCTCTTTGAGGAAATCTTTTTGGGGGCGGTATCTTTAGGGGAAGAGAGCTTGGCCGTGGGAGTAGGTGTTGCATTTGGCTTCCTTTCGCGCAAGCTATATTTGCTTCTGGGTGTGGGGATCATCTTGATGGTTAATTTAGGGGATAGTGCTAAAAGAAAAAGTGTGATGAAAATGGGAGAGGATGATATTCTTGTGGAAAGACGTCAGGGAGAAGGGGAACCAGATATTTGAATGGATGATGTGAAGAAATGGTTTCGGACCTACGGTGAGCAGCAAGCCGCTCGTAGGGATAGGTACGAGACCAGGTTCCAAAGGGTGTTGTGCTAGGGGAAATACTGTGAAGTATCGATGATGGTGGAAACTGTGTGAAAGAGTAAGAGAAAAAGGTTTTGGGGGGTGGCTCCAATAGAACGGGTGATTGCATCACACAAGATCACTCGGTTTAACTATCTGGTCACAGAACAACATAGACGGTGGTAAAATACTCGTTAATAGCAGTGGCGATAATACATGTAATCAGTTAATAGCAGTAGCAATAAATAATCAGCTAACAACGATAATTGCGACAGCAATAGTCCTTAAGCTATATTTATAAGATTGTAGTCTAGATAATCATTACTCGCAAGTTTAAGCAATCGGATGTTGTTGCAACCAAATTCCTACACAACTTAAAAATAACGAGGACTTAACAAGCGAGTACAAGACAGAGCAGAATACTAATAGATAGTACATAAAAGCAGAGTCCACTAGATTCCACTTGTATCTATTTTCACGGACTACCGAGTACGTGTGTTTAACGATTGGGTACTTTCTACTTTCTAGCATGCTTAGTTGGTAGCTATAGAATTAACAATATCTCTAGTGAGTTTTCATGTAGACTTGTCACTTCTCATAATTTAGATTAATCAAAATATGAGTCAAAACCTAAGTATCGTGTTGAGACACCTTGTTCCTAACTACAAGTATTAATACTACTATATTGTCACTGGTAGGCCAGCGTAGTCCACGAGACTGGCTACTTGAGGAGGCTCGAGCCTCTGCTCAATGATCGATGGAACTAAGTTTTATGCTGCTAGGCGTATATGGAGTTTATAGGGGACGTACTGGCACATGCAGATACGCAATAGCTTATGTACTACATTGATGAAAAGACAATCAAACTAGCGTTTTAACGGAGAAAGGGCTTCTAATAGCTAAAATCCTCTATATCGTCACATAAACCATTATATCCCACCTAAAGTTTATATGTTAGCCCTAACCGAGTCGGGCTCTCTGGAGGAGATGGCTCGCCCTAGACGAACTAAATTTATAAAAGCTCGGACCACTCATGTTCCCCCTCTCGGTGAACGCAATAACACTAATACTTGTCGTAGGACCAGGTTCAAGAGCTCTCAAACCGTGGTTATTCCGTTCGCAAATCTTCGATCTTACACCAACTCTATACTTCCTTTCAATAAATATTAAAAAAATTCTAGGACCATTCAACCTATCCAGTTGACATGATTTTCTCATCAGCAGGATATAGATCAACGAGTGATGTTTCATGATGCAATAACCCTCATGATTATGGCCTATTGGTTTGAGGTTCAAAACATCTTGTTTCGTGTTTTTTTACACGCTACTTTACGGTATCATGAACTACAACCCATGACGTGCTCGATTCTGTTCGAGCAATCCAGAAAACATAATGGTGTTTACACCTTTAACGCAAAAGGATATCCAGAATCAAAGCATGACCATACCAATCCCACTGCCATTCTCTTCGTCGATGTTATTCTTCTCATCAATTCCGCCCTTAATGAATGGTGTCTTCCAGTTGAAAAGGTAATAGTGTAAGGATCCATCACCAGGGCCAAACTTCTGTTCCGTGAGGAAAAGCGAGTTATCAAGGAGTGACAACGCGTTGAAGACGTGGAAATTGAGCCTCTTCGCGAGGATAAGAGCGTCATTTACCAACGCATTGAGTCGGACCTTTAGCTCCTTCTTCATATCTGGAGAACCGCTGAAGGCAGTCTCAGAGGCGTAATAGAAAAGATAGGCAGCACGGATAGTGGTATTCTTTTTCAAGGCTGTGGATTCGAGGGAGTAAAATGAAAAGAAGTCGGTTATTTTTCCATCCGTCTATTGGGAATTAGTGGCTATTTGCATGAATTTTAGTGCGTAGGGGAAACGTACCTCCACAACGTAACACCAAATAACCCTATCCTCAGGCTTGCTTTCCTCGTTGAATAACCAATGTTTAATTTCTGCTTTGTCGAATTTTGGCGCCAAATCAAATCTCGCCAGGTATCTCTCTAGTAATCCATGGACTGCATCCAAGTCTTTTAACTCCATTTCTCTTAATCCAGGCATTGCTGTGTTCGTTGGCAGCGAATATTTAGAAACCTGCCTCGCTTTTGTGCTCTTTGCCGGTAGCGGTGAGAAGCCAACATCATAGAGCTTGAGCCAATCCAAACTGCGGTGATAATATCTACATGTGGAAATAGGCTTTGGTAGCACAACTCCAGCTGTGTAGATGGCGTTCCAGATCTCCAGCAGATTACATCTTCGGGTGATTTCTTTAATAAGTACGGGTGCGAGACGTTTGGCGCGTAGTTTTTTGTGAATACAGAGGAAGTTGATCTCAGAGCATTTTAGGTCGTTGTCGCGAACCTTCAAAGTGACCGGTATACCTGAAATAAAGGCGACGAGCTTCTTTGTCGCAGCAACACGGACACCGACATGCCAAGACGGGACCCAATCAGGTGATTTAAGGGCCCAGTTGATGAAAGATGCAGAGTAGTTAAAGCGGAACATGGCATCATTGTCTTCGACATAGTGATTGGTAAGGAGTTCGTAGACTTCATTGATCTGATTGTTGTAGGGTTAATAAAAGTACGAGATGAGATTCTCAAAGTAATTTACCTGTTTCTCATCGTTCAGATCCATGGTATCCCATTCGAATCCATCAACAAGCTCAGCGCCTGTTGTTGGTACGTCCTCAAGCTTCTGCACTCGCACCGGCCCATCTGGCTTCTGAGACTCAGGTTCATCTTCCATTCGTAGAGAGATTAGTTCTTAATTCAACCCATGGCACATAACTCCAGGAACATACCAAATCTCGAAACTGGTTGCGTAGCCCAGAACTTGTACGACGCCATATCTTTCTGGTTTTTCCCTCCCGGTGCCTATGTTTTATTTCTATCAGTTTCAGTCCTTTCATAACCGTAATCATTGACGGCAATAGTGAAGCTAACCATTCCTGTCAATAAGTCCTCCAGTTTCAGCCTGCTCAACATCTCCTGTATCTTCTTTGGATCCATCCCTTGAGTTTCTGCAGCTAAGCTGGGGTTGTTCTTCAGAATTTTTTGAACCATTCCAGAGCCCATATCGCTACTTCCCCCAGTTTCTGCTGCTTCCAAAGCTTCGGACTCGGCATCGTTACTAGCTGCTGCCTTTTTGACCTTCTTCCCCCCCTTCTTCTTCTTTTTCTTGCTAGCGCCGGTTTGTGTAGTATCGGCGTTGGCTTCTTCGACAACTTCTTCAGTGTCGGTGTGAACGTCTTCCGTTATAGGCTCGGTTATCTTGGATTCTTCAGACATCGTTATGGTCGCGTTGTGGTGATGGGGCCTTGATTCAAGTGTGGGGCAGCAAAATGGAGGGGTTGTGTGGCTTCAGAGCCTCGCTCGCCTAGGTTTAGGGTTCTCAGGATAAGGTTATTGTTTCGTTACTAGCGTAGTACGGTGGTAGCAGCCTAGTCATGTGATTCAGTTTGATAGCGGGTGATATTCCATGATGTTATTAATTATACGTCTACCGGAAGGGCATTGAAATTTCAAACATGATTTCAGGGTACTCCATTGTAGTAACAGTTAGTAGAATTTGACCACGAATTACATGTAATAAGTACGCAAACTTCTTGAATTGTGACAGTCCGCTGAGTCGAATTACTGTGGTACAACCACTACACACCTGAAAAAGTCGTATTACCACGACTGGAAGAACATTGCGTGTAATTAAAGCTCAAGTGGGTTTAATTTTGTATGTAAACAAGTCCGCAACTACATGTAAGTACATGTAGCTTGACCACACAAGCTTCATTCAATGCACATGGCACACGGGAGAATGTCGATCACGCATTAATATTTGTTCGGAGCCCACAAAGGCCCTTTACAATTGCCCAATTACATTACTACTAAACTTCTTAACTTATCGGTCTTAAGGATATATTGCCTAAATAGCAAACAGGCCACGGGTCCTCCAAACTTCCAATTTCTACACTAAACGGCAGAGTCTCTGATTAAATTCCCGGGTTCAGAGTCTTGGCACACATATCAAATTACCTAACATCTCTTTTGATTGATGCCTAGCATCGCCTCTCAGGAATCAATCGACAGATCTAAGAACACGATGCTAAGAGAGCGTGATGTCAAACAGCCTATTTCGCAAAAAATGGAAGAAAGGGAGGCCGCGCCATAGACAATCCGATCGAGCATTCCAATCTCCCGAGGGTTCATGACCACTCGCATACACTCCCGCAACATCAGTGTTCCCCTTCCACCCAGAATAATGGAGGATCGAATCATGTGTTGTTTATCCTAGGGTGACATCATGGAAATACTGTGAAACAAGTACCGCAGGAAATTGACTAAGTAGGTGTTTCTTATCGATTTCAAACACTCGAGTCTCAAACAAACACACAAAGTGTTTCGAATAGTAAGTGCTAACTCACGGACAGGCTCATCCATGAACACATCCTTGATGCAGTTTACCTGGAACGACAGTGGAATAATCCTCAGCTGGGGCTCCAAAATTCTACTTAGGATATTTAACCGAATTGAAACCCAAACATCTTCCCCAGCTCGGGAACTTGCCGAAGAACCTTGACGTGGAATATCTGCTGGCAGACCTTAAAGGTAAGACCTTGTACGTAGAACATGTATGTAGTCAACGCCTGTTAATTAGTGGGGAGTCATAACGTGTTGACTGAAGGCTTCCCAACCCAGCAGAGGGTTCGAACCCGGGGAATAACCCGGCGATCATAAGGGTCCCTGCATCCCGGTCATTCCCGGAATCTAATGAGTCTACAATGTACGATCTAACGTCTCCATCACCCGCAGGGCAACATGCATACATGTGACTA